TTCATTGCAGGAAAAATTGACAGTAAAAATTTAAAATTATTTTCAATCAAATCTCAATCTTTGGCAAATTTCCTGTGATTTAACTAACTGTGTAATTAACTTCAAATACAGAAAGGAATGAGTGTCAAAAAATTGTATATATAGTGCAGAGTCAAATCTACTGTAAGTATCCATCTTATCTCTACCTATCTTTCTCAGTCTCATGGACTAGGTCATTATATTTTTCTGTGAATGTAAGATTGAATAACACATGTGTTGGTCTCGCAATATCAATTTGTTTTTTTTATTATTTTCTTAGTGAATGATTATGTTCTCCCATTATTTAAAATTTACTTACGTATACATAATTCGAAAACTAATGCATCTACTTAATTTTTCTTACTTTAAAAATCCACTTCGGCTCATATCTCTAAGATCCTCTTTCCTGTGCCTTTCATAAGTTTTTTTACAGAAATAATCCTTTTTTGGGTCTAGTCTCTTCATAGATATTATATCTTATTTATTATATTTTATCATAAATTATGTGATTTGTAAACTGTATCTCCCGATTTTTACCTAGCACAATAATATAGGCACGAATTTTATTACCACTCTATTTAAATGTGACAGTTGAGTCGAGTGTAATTTGTTACTATTTTGTAAAAAGGCGAAATGATCTATTTTTCCTTTTAATTTAGTTTGAAGTTGTTCTAGATTTAACTGTAAGTAAACTAGGAGTCTCTGCTTCTTGTAACTTTAAAAACCCCCAAACAATTCAGCTGTTTTGGGGATTCCTAATTGATTTATTTCTATGTACTTTAATTGGTTTTTTGAAGTGAGCAAGCTCAAACTTGTGTTCATTTTACACCTGGAAGGTTTTGTCAACAAGCTTTTTTTCCTAGGCCATCAATGGCATCTATGGAACTACTTTTTCAACAATGTTGCTCCCTTATTAATTGTTGTTTATAGATAATAACATTCCGCACTGTTTAATTCAGTTTCTTCAGCCTCGCAACGTAGGTACATCGTTAAATATTGATAATTTTTAAGTTACCAAGATTTAAAATTAAGTAAAAAGAGGTGAATTATTTTCATTGATGGCCGAAAAATTTTGCTTATCAATGAGTGTATCTTTCCTCAGCATACTAACTTATCAACAGCGAAACTGAAAAAAATGCGTATCTCTGTTGTGGTGTTTCAAATTCCTTGAATAGAGTTGAAAAATCACTGAGGTTTTAACAAAATTAAGTATGCTCATTAGTTTTCAATGCAGAAAATAATGTATGACAGGAAGTCTGAAATGCAACCGATTTATGCATTCTGTAGTTTCACCATCGTTATGTTAAACGACTTCAATGTATTGATGGAACCTGATGGCATAGCTCACCACTGCTCCTCTGATCATGTTGGCAAATATTGCTGATGAAATTCGGATTTTCTCGACATAATGCTAGAATTTGACTGTTTTCCTCTTTTGAATTTTACAACATTTCAACTTGTTACTTTGAATATAAATTTTTCTGAATTAGAATATCTTTTTTGTAAACTGCGTTATTTTATCTTTCAGTATGAGTTTTTAGTAATGAAGCAAATTATGTACCAGGTTTCTAATGTACAATTCAACAAGTGTATAATATGTTTACTGTACCATTTTGACCTTTTCTACTAGTAAGTTTTCTATGTTCTTCTTTTATAAATTCATCAATAAAAAAAGACAGTGATACTGAGCAAACTATCTCGGAAGTTATTTTTTTGCCAGAATATGAATGACATATCGGGGCTTAATAAAATCACAAATGGAATGGCTCACGACTGTGAACTGAAAAAGTATTGACCCATCGGTAGTTTCAAAATCTCTGCTATAAATTTATTTTTGTAGAGAAAAAAAAAAGGAACGTCATTGTTAAAAATATTTGAAGGATATTCTGTATAGGATAATGACAAATCAGTAAACATACAAAAAAGTACCTAATATTCAGCAGTTCTCCCTTAAAATATTAAATCTGCAATGTTGTAAATTTTTTTTATCTTGCACCATCAATATCAATTAGATTTATCTTGTGAGTTGGTTGGTAATCTAGTTGTGAAAGCTGCCTATTGTTCATTAATCCAGAAAAGATTGGCATGCTCATAGGCACATCTAAACTATTTTAGTATCGACAATGAAGCTCTCACTTAAGTCTCGATGGGATTGAATCGTACAGATAGAAGCCAATCTCAGGTAGACTCATATAGAATGAAATAAGTTTACAAAGACAGCAACAGGAATCTCACCTCTCAATTCTTGAGGGATTGAATGTTGGATTCATTTTCTGTTTCAACTCTTTGCTTACTTCGGCTGAAACCACACACAGAGGTAACATAAACTCAGCAGAACTTTCTTTCAAACGTGCAGAACTATTCCTCTTGGTTTGTGATGTTGCAGATCTTCATTCATTTCCCTTCTTTAAATGATAACTGATCACCATGACCACACAAAATTCACGTTGATTTTTCTTTTCTCACTCAGCAATATTTTCTGAACATTTCGTACACAAATGCTACGCAAAGTCATCTGAAAAAATTAACAAAAGGAAACTTCTGAGGCACATGCCATTATTCAATTTTCATTTGATATAATAGTGATACCGATGGTGATACTAGGAAAACATGCATTATGATTTGCAACATTGTGAACTTCTTTCCACATTCTGTCTCTATAAATTGGCACCAACTTCTTTCAACGCTCACAATTTTGCATGATTAATCTCTACCCAGTGTATCGAAATACTTATTCTTCCTATATTTCATGCAAAAATATTTCTCAGTCTTACTTTCATAAAAAATAAAAGCAAGTATGAACTGAAATGTCAACACATTGCAGTTGAGATATATTTTCCTCTTTCAAGATTTGCCACTCCTATCTATATAAGGTGCATTATAACAAATCCATAAGAGATGTGACTTAAATCATTTGCAAAAATTTTAAATATGGAAATTAGTGTTCACCTTTTTCGAAAGTCACTGTCATTTACAATAACTAATTACTGGATCTTGCAGGAAGTATGAAAAGTGATGATTTTTTACTTGAAAAGTTTCCTTTGTATCGGACATTACATTAATAGTAATCTAGAGGGAAACAGCTATAACTAACATTCTTAAAAAAAATCGAGTCACATAATCACTTTATCAAAATGCTCAGGTGCAATGCTCAATGTGTGCCGCAGATTTTTGTAGAAATATTTTATGTCAAAACAAAATGCAAAATTTCTACAATTCGAAAAATCCGAAATTTAGTCTCAAGTACGTATTTTATGAACAGACCCTTTTTTCAATTTCCCTCCACAGAACACCCAGTGCCCCTGCCTACATGTAAATTGACATTGACCAAAATTATTTAAGACACGTAATTAGACTAGTGCAAAAGCACTACAATACAAAAGAAATTCCAAGTACATACATTTTTTATTAACTTGAAACCTTGTTAGGTCCCATGAAAATTCTTTGCGGTTGAAACGACATGCATCCCAAGTAGCATAGAGCAATGAAAATATTGAAATGCATAATGAAATTGCGATTTAATGCAATGAAAATGCAATTTTTTTACATTTGAGTTGCAATATTTTTACATCGTTGTTCAAATGCCGATTTTTATCAGTCAATGAGATGAGCTTCATGGAGGCGATTGCACGACCAAAATCTCACGATTGTAGAGGCGATTGCAATGCAAAGACAAATTGCAACTTATTCAGAGCCGGATTAAGGGGGTGGCCACATGGGCCGCGGCCCCTGGCGGCAAATCTAAGGGGCGGCAAAAATTTGCGATTTTTTTAAGTGTAGGTATAAAAAAATTGGATTTATAAAAACAAAATTACAAACGAGAAAAGGCTTCATTTCCTGAGAGTATAGTAATTTCTAATTATGTCGTCTCATAGTGATACAAGAGACAGCACCCTCAATAAGTCGAGTTACGAGAGACACCAAACACGCAATTTGGCCTAGAACGGCGCGACTTAGAGAGAAATGATAACGAGGACTTGAGATGAAAAGGAGAAACCCTCGGCGCGGCGATCGGCACGTAACACATATTAGCGCCTACAAGACTGCACGAATACTTCGCGCATTGCATCAAACACAGTGCACGCGGTTATTGTGGTCAGCGTGAAACGGATAGCGCCTACAAGAATGCATGAATACTTCACGCATTGCGCCAAACGTGCGGTCAGCGTGAAACGCATAGCGCCTACAAGAATGCGTGAATACTTCACGCATAATTTTTTCGTTTATTTTTTATGAATGGAAGGCCTTGTCCACACAGAGATAGGTTCACGGAGCTTAACTTTCGCGCAAAGTTTCGTGAACTATTGCCACTAGTATTGACAGGGCTTTCCCAAAAAATGTGTTCAACACAAGTAAATGCGTCTTACGTACCCCTCCCTCGCTGGCATGTCCATTTGATGGTTTTTATCAAGTTTTAAAACGAATGAGAAGGGGGCGGCAAAATATAGAAGGCCCATGGGCGGCAAGTACCTAGGTGAATCCGGCCCTGAACTTATTTCAATTTCATTGCAAGAAATTTCGATAAAGGATGCCCCTTCAAGTAGTAAATAGGCAACATACCTAACACTCCGATGCAGGAGCAATAATTTTCCCTAGTAATTTATTGCAATGCATTGCACTCTGTGCTACTTGTGCAGCTCATGCTGAAACTTCCTCCAGAATAAAACGAATGATAAAAAGCTGGGATTTTTGGACTTTTAAGGAACTTTAGTGTCGAGAAACATTTTTTAAAAAAATAAAATAAAAAAAATCCCCTCGAAGCATACCTAAACTTTTTAAGGGCCAGAGAGAAGATTTTGGAACATGAAACTTTCCTAGTCAAAGTGAAAGTTGGTGCTAATTTTACGCACTCTCATGTACGAAAGCCCGAAGCGTCGAGATTTCGATCGTGATCGTGACACCGACGCCCGCCGACGCCCTCGACGTCCGATTCCGACGCCTTGCGGCCCGGTGCGGTGCGGAGCGGCGTGTTACCGTGGCCCCCATTTCTTTCATGCTTTTCCGCTTCCGCCTGGCCCAGGATACGTTTGGCAATCGCGTGTACTACTCGGACTGAAAACATACGCCGAATTCGTTCATTGGCTTCTGCCCGAATAGCCGCCGGACGTCGTTTTGTGTTTATGATACGGTATCCGGGAGGATTTCGGTCCAAACACGGCAAAACAACACGTATAACACTTGAGATGGTGACTTCTCGGAATAATTTTCTTGTGAATTCGTGAATTTTGTGCGATGTTGAAGTTCATCCGGGGCAAAGGACAGCAGCCCACTGCTGAGCAGCAGAAGCTTCAAAAGGATCTATTCGGGTTCAGGAAGGTACGACGTTTGCAACTTCTATTTCTTTATTTGGTTATGGTTACACCACCTCATATGTTGTTTATTGTGGGCGGACTCCCTAATTTTCGGCTATTTCTAATACCTAGCTGCTTCCCTGCAATTTCTCTCAATTTCAGATTTCGTCGGCATACTCGATTCCTTAAAATCTAGGAAGAAAAATTATAATCTAATTCTTTAAGTCAGTACAGCCATACTATCCTTACGAACGCTTAGGGCTCCACCGAGTACTGAACGAATCTGGTATAAGTTCTGCCAACCGTCATTGCAGCTATAGTTCTAAAAGCTTCAAAAGAGAACAAATTGAACTGGCTTTAAATCTGAGTACAGGACCGTTCGTCCTAACCAAATAATCTATCTCAATGACTTTAGATTGCCCGAGCTATCAACCATAATGAATCAACTTTCATGGATATAGATCTTATCAATCCGAATACTTTGAGCGTAGCCCGGGGCTAAAGTTGATAGTTGTTTGCACTACTTTGTACACCTTTTTAAGTATCCATATCAAATCAGGACGTTTCTGTGCAACAGACTCATCAGTTGAGCTTGAGATGTGACCTTCTACCCGCTTGAACAGGTGGTCGGTAGGCACTGCAGTTCAAGATGCACTAACTCAAATAGAAATTTTAATCAGCCTGAATTTATACCATAATTTGGAAGAGCTAGGAACTCTGACTTCAGTGCGCTTAAAGAAATCATCATTAACTTAGAATGTATTTCTGAAATCCGAGTTCTTCTGTTCTCTATGGAGTATTTGAAAGAGATAAAAACGGAGAATGTTGCTGTTTTAATTTTGGCGTTGAATGTATAAGGATACATCCAATGGAAAAGACAAAAGATATGGATAGGGTTATGTTGTGAGAAGAGTGTTAAAAGCAAGAGAGATAGTGAATTGTGTCGTATTCATAGGTAGCCCGTATTTGAAAGGGGTAGAAGTCTCGTCAGATAAGTTGGCAGTTGTTTACTTTCCTTTCGCAAGCGACTGCATACCTAAATGTATGTGTAGCCAGTGTTTATGTAAATATGTAACCTGAATGTACGTTCAATTAAATTGAGAAACTCTACATCGGTTCACTTATGAGGAAAATGAGTAAGTTTTTTTGGAATAATGAGCCGTCGTTTTGAAGTGCTAACATTTTTTTCTTTCTTTTAGACTGTTCAGCATGGTTTCCCCAACAAACCAACTGGATTGGCCTGGGATCCTGGTCTAAGACTAATCGCTATCGGAACAGCAACTGGAGCTATTAAAGTGTATCCTTTCCCTCGTCAAACTTCGATCTCTTCTGAGTTTTTTTTATCCCTTGAGGCGTTCGATTGACTATTCAACACTCCTTCAACCTAGAATATGCTTTCCCTTGCATTTATAAGGTCATTCTAACACACAGTGTGTCATTCAGAATCCTTGTTTTCTCTTAGCTATTCAGTATTTTTAATATTTAATTTCAAGAATTTTAAAGTATCGGGTTTTTATAGCCTCTGTGATTTTTTTTATTTTTATTTTTTTTTATGCAACAGATGAAAAATACTGAAACTGTCCAATACTCACAGGGGTGCTGAAAACTATCTAATACAGGAAGAAACGCCTTTACATAGGGTATGGTTATCTATGGACTGATATCAATTTTTTATTTTTCTTAACCTGAAGTCTGACCTAGGTAATTTCTATATTTTTTTATTTCACTCAGTGTGGTTAATTGTTTTTTTGCAAAGTACCTATAAAAGTTTGTAAAGAAGTACTTAAAAATTTTGAGGCTTAAATCTTCTCCCATTTCTCAATCATTAGGAAAATGTTGCACCCCTGTGGATGAAAGTTTGATGCAACAAATTTAACAGCCACAATTTAGAGTTTACAATTTCTAGCCCTACTTATTTTCTTTTAAATTAAATATTAATCTAGGTATTTTTTTTTGAAATGGTAAAGAATTGCAAACAGAGGGGGGGGGGGGGGTTAGCAATAGGCATACTAGTTCACCCTAAAAAAATAAATAAGTGGAAGGGGTTAAAAATACATCTGCATTGAAACTGAAGTCTTAAATTAGATACAAACATTATTACTGATGTTTAAAAAGTTTAATTTTACTTCAACATTATCTGGATAAGTTTAATCCAAGTGTTGGTACAAGGTCTTAGAAAAGAATGCTTTTAACAGAAATGGGTAGGTAGAGAGTAGTCAGGAGGAAACACTTGAAGCGTGACTAATTGTCATCACATGGAAGTTGATAATCTGCCTAACAAGATATGTCTCATCTTACACTGAATTGAGACTGCATAGTTGACTGTTTGCAGGGTTTTAAAGCAATCTAGGTTTTGTGTCAGTTACATAATAGTATTATGTGTAACACAAACCTTTCCACTCTCACCGTGGAGTCCACTTTTTCTCTTCCTCTCTTTTCCTCCAATACCCATAATAAAAGAAACACTTGTCATTTATTATGGAGGGAAGGACCCTCATTTGTTAGATGCTCCATGATTATGAAATTGCACGGTTTTATACATTTTAATTTCTAGCTAGAAGTCTAGGAAAATGAAATTCTCATCAGAGTGTTGTATGATGTACTTTGGTAAGTAAGAAATGTAAACAGGGTTACAAATTCATCCACTCTTTTATAGGCGAAAGATTTTTTCCTTAACTCTGTTTACTTACAGTCTTGGAAAACCCGGTGTTGAATTTTATGGTCACCATCCGAGCTCAGATCATGCTGTGACTAAGTTGGTTTTCATTCCAAATGAAGTAAGTAGTCGTTACTCTTGTAAAAAGGCATTAAATGAACCACATACTAACATGACCTATGTGCAAGGAATATATCAGTCGTATTGAGCATAGCATAAATTTTTGCTAAAAATTTTGCTCAAAAAAATTTTAATCAATAGAAAATTTTAAGAGATTTATTACCTTATGCTTCTTTTCAAATTTATCAGGTATCTACCAAATTCGAGTGTTCAGCTTATTATGAAACTTTTGTAAGTTCATGATGATACACTAATCTAGCCTTGATCGCTAGTTTACTTTGTAATATTATAATGGGCTGAAACGCCCATTACGAAACAATTCTGTGTATTTATTTTTTTTATTTCAGTTTCTCAGTTGTGTTAGAAAATATTCTAGAAGTTAAGATATTTTGGGAAGTAGTTAACCTGGATGGAAGCCATCATATAGTAATGAATGATTTGAATATGATGAATTTTGCAGTTCCTCACTTATTTCTTAGACACTCTCTAATCTTTTGCTATTACTTACTCATAAAATTTTAATTTTTTACAGGGCCGGCTTGTCTCATTATGCGATGATAATTCCTTACATTTATGGGAAATCAATGATACTCTGCTGGTTGAAGTGAAAGTGCAAACTTTGGAGGGGAAGTGAGTAACTTCATTGCTTCACTGTGAAATATTTATTATTTTATTTTTGACTAATTATCATGTCATTGCCCCCTGTTCATTAAGTCGAAATCATGGTGTTCAGGACCTACCAAAATTAAGGAATTTTGGGATCCATCAGGGATTATATAATTGGGAAATCCGTCAGAGAATAGGTATTACTAATCAAGAATGTCTTCTTTGTTCTTGAAAAACCTTTTGTCTTCTAATTCAGCCGTCCAGAATGGCTCAGCTTTGAACAATTATCCAAAAGTTGAGAGAAGTATTGCATCTACGATGAAACTGCAGAAATGTGTATCTCAGTTGCGGTATTTCAAACTTTGTTCCTATTTCATTTTTTAAATGGAGATCAAACTTTCATCATGGTGTGAAATTTTTACAGAATATTCTATGCATCAAAAAGAAAAAACACAAAAGTTTTCAAGAAATGGCGTTCAGAAGTTTTCCTTGTAGAACATAAAGCAAGACAGGAAGTCTGTAACTCCAGAAACGGAGTTACGCATTTCTGCAACTTCAACATTGATATTCAATACATGATTTGCTCTAGGATAAAAGAAGGAGAAGAAACCCAAAAATTTTCATCGGGGGGCTCGGTGCTCTTGTAAAAGAAAGAAGTAGAATACCTATTCAAAGTTTTTCGACACCACAGTTAAAATATTCCCTCTCCTACATCATACTCATATTTTTCTCCTTTGTTGATCTCTTTTTGCAGCCTGTTTGCTTTTATCAATTTGATTAATATATTTTAGAATGTTTCTTTCATTTTCTTAATTTCTAATTTCTCGACTTTCTCATTTCCAGGTTGAAAAAAGTTTCTGCCGTCACAGTTCAGTCCACGAATGAACATGTCTTGCTTGGCACGGAAGGTGGAAATATCTATCTACTCAAATTACCATCATTTGAGGTGTCCGATACAGTTATATTTCAAGATGTCATCATTCAAAAGTAGGTGTTTGGATCTCTCCAATTATCAGAAGATTTAATTTAAATGAGCACTGAAGTACATATTTTTTTAGAATGATTTCAATTTATTGGTCTGTAGTATTTGACGAAAGGTTTCATTAATAGCCCATACTTAGTAGACTTTCAAGTTTACCCACAATTTTTTTATCTTTTACTCTGATTTTCTGCTTTATCCCGGTATAGTTTTACCACTCAGTTCTGCCAACCTTTGCTCTCTCTCTTCTTACTGTAAAAAATTTAGAAGTTAAGGGGACTCCACATTGAATTTGAGGCTCATGACTGCTACTTCCCACTTCTCTGAATTTTTTTGAATGGCCGGATAAATGTTCCCTATGTTCCTGCTGTATCAGGCTATATGATTTACGTATTCTAAAATTCTTAAATGAAATGCAGATTGTCTCACATTTTTCTAAACATTTCCTGCAGTATTATGTGATAATATGCATTTTTCGGGCCATGCAAACAAACGATTTTTTTTACACATATTGAATGCAGTGGTAAGGATATTTTCCAGTTCTCTCACATGCATTTTTCCACTCTACTGTCTGGAATGTTGATATTTTGCACAATTAATTTGTAGATGTGTATTTTTTGTTTTCTGATCAATATTAAAAAGAGACCTTGGTAAATACTGATTAAATGGAATTTTTAATTGTAAGAAAGAAGTTTGGTAATCTGCTACTTAGGAATTCTTTTGTGTTTGCTAGTCAGCACGGAATATCTGATATTTTTTTTTCCCTCTTTCTCATTTTGTCTCAACAGTTCTATATAGAATGGCTCAGACGGTTTTTATCGGCTTATTTTTGAACTTTTGTTTTGTTCTTTTGTCTTCAAATGTACCTATCTTATTAGCACCCGGAGACTTGTGTATGTAGCTCTTAATTACATCAGTTTGGTAAATATTGGGTTCTTATTTTTAATTATAGCGTGTCCGAGGATTACAAGCTTAATCCAGGTCCGGTTGAAGCAATTGCAGAACAACCTGGGGACCCTGATTTACTTCTGATTGGCTACAACCGAGGATTGATGGTCCTATGGAGTCTCAAGAAAGGAGCACCCATTAAAGTAAGTTAATCAGTCAATTAGCACATATCAGTAACTCTTATCTGACCGAACGGACTACTAAAAAAGTCAAATTTAAGCATTCTGATGTTCATCCTCAAAATTTGACATAGTACACGATTTTTGCAACGGAAATGACTGAAATCATCTTTTGAGCAAGATACCAATTTTTTTTTTCCAGCTCTGGTTACGAAAAATTTGAACACTCACCAAAAAACCCAGAGTCTGCGTAAATTCAATCACGCATTCTAACTGTTTGGGCAGGCTTCTTAATCAAGCAATGTTCCTTCTCCAATCTTTGCTATTCAAAGTCTTAACAATTTGTAACAGCTGAGCTGAAGCGTCAAGATTGAGGCCACCATATTTTTACACTGCATATACTGTCAGGATAACATTTGGTGTGCAATTTAACTCAAGTATATTATGGTTTTTTATGAGCAGGAAGTTCAAATTTATGCATAAAAAAACTTTTCACCTTGGTCAGGCGTTACTTTCAATAATTTTTGTCAAACACATCGTGTTCTACACATAACTTTGGAGAGAAAACATTAATAATAATGCTTGAATTGGCACTTTGTCTAGTAGTCCATCAGTTCAATTATGTGATGAGACCCAAAGTCCTCAAGGATAAACTTTCAAACAGACAGCACTCATCCTGAAAAAAGTTTGAATCGCTGATTTTCACCCATAAAATGATTTTTTCCTTTTCCTATTTTAAATGTACTCCCGAAATTGAAATAAAAAACCTGTTGATTTTTAATTCCATCCATTTCTTCCGCAGGGTAATGTCCATCCATCATAATCTTTTTTATTTTAATTTAACCACGAATTTAGGGAAAAATTTGTTCCCCCCAATAATCTACTTTCATTACTTAGTCTCTTGTATTTATTCAAAATAATTCTGTGTTCATCTTTAGACTTACATCTGCAACCAAGACTTGGAAAGTGTCTGCTGGCATGAATCTGGCAAGAAATTCATGTCCTCGCATACTGATGGTAGTTACGCTTATTGGGATGTTGATACAACAGATGGACCAATGGAGCCGCCCACTACGGTTTATGGCCCCTTTCCGTGTAAAGCCATTCCAAAAATTCTTCTGAAATCAGCCTATCAGGAGCCTCAGTAAGTTGTTTTCAAAATGACCCCCCTCATCATTTTTTGAAAAATTTAAGTTTCTACAAGCAGAATATCACGTAGAGGAAAACAATGTAGTATTTATATTGTGAAATTCACTTTGAAAACAAGCTGATCATCTGTTGAAGAATTCCAATCCATCCAAATTGTCCAGAGTGGATTAAATTTTTCTCTGCTTGTCATTCCATGCATATTAAAGTCCCTTTTATTGAATCGGTAGCCAAATGTTTATTTTTATTCTTTGTAACGTCAGACTTCTCTTTTTCAGTGATGAAATGCTGATTTTTAGTGGTGGGATGCCTCGAGCAAGTTACAGCGATCGTCATACAATAACCGTCCAGAGAGGACAAAAACATGTAGTTTTTGACTTTACCTCCAAAGTAATTGACTTCTTCACGATCGATGCCACTGATGATGAAACAGGTATGAAATTCTTAATTTTGTTTTTTAAAGTAGCGGTTACATGATCCTCAATTAATAAAACTGCATGGTGAATCAACTTACACTATCCATATTCAATTTTATTCATTGGTATTAATCTTTAAGGAATACCTCACTCTACCTCTACGTCACTGATAGTACTGGCCTATCCCGTGCGCCTGTAAAAGCCATTTTACTCTTTTTGGTGTATTCTCAATGGACCTGACTAGAAAACTGCTTTCATTGCTAAGTAAAGTGTACAAGAAATTTTTTTTATCCACTAACTGGGTTTGACCAGAATTTCTTTTTTTAAATTTCTACAGTTTAAAAAATTTTGGTGTATAAAAAATTTAAGTACAGTGAAACCTCGCTAAGTCGGTTTCCGGATAAGCCGGTAACCCGCTTTATTCGGTAGAATCGCCTGGTCCCGTTTATCACCCATATAACACAATGCTAAATAAGTCTCGGTATCTCGGTTTGGTCAGATTCTGAACCCGCTTAACTCGGTGATATTTTTCCATCTCGACCTGTTTTTCTTCGATCGTCACCCGAGATCAAGCGTAGGTAGTGTTTCCGTGCGCGGTGCGGGTCGGGTCAAGTTACGCCACGAAGGGTGAGCGAATCTCCGAGAGAGCAGTGCGAGAGACGACATCAGCTCCCCCTCTCCTCCTCCCTCCCATCCCCACTCAGCCCGCTCGTATCGGCACGAGCCCCTCTCCCCCTACCATCTTGCATTGCCGTTCCCCGCTCCCCCGAGGAATCTTCCTCAGAGTTTTTCAAGGATTTTAGCAGGGACGAGTTCTATAGGACGCCGTTCTGTTGTGAGCGGGTGATTGCAGCGCATTCTCGCGTAGGATCCTAGTCAACTCAGAGGATCCTTCCCCCCGAACCTCGACTCATCCATCGCCCGCTCCAAAAGTGAGGTTAAGCCGGAGATTGAAAAATAACACATAAGGCGGCTGAATTCTTGAAAAATAAGTCTATTTTTGGCGTTTTTCGACCCCTTTCGACAAGGAAGGGCTCGCCGCATGTACTGATATGGTGAAAAATTCGATTTTTTGCAGTTATGCGCGATCCCACGGATTTTAATGAAGTCCAACAACTGATAACAGCAGTGAGTTGCGAGGATCCTACGCGAGATAGCAGCACTAGTACCTGCTCACGAATTTTTACATTGACTCTTACGGGAGTCCAGGGTCCTATAGAACTGGTCCCTGATTTTAGCGAGTATTGTTTACGTTGCATTTTCAGTGCAACGACCCGCCACTCAGCGGGCGGCCGCGGCGCATCACCGCGCGGCACCCCAACAAACGATTAACCCGATGACTTCATGATGCCCTGACACTTACAACACGCAATTTCAAGTGCATCTCATGAAATTTTACTCTTTCGTACCATTTTCTTCGATCAAATGGCTCTCCTAAACACTCCTACAAGTCACTCTACACGCACGTTTGCGTTTGTCTAATTTAGGGCGCGAAATTTGAAAAAGCGCGGCAGGAAAAGTGGCAGTCCGCGTAAGTCGGTAACCCGCTTAACTCGGTAAATTTCCTCGGTCCCGATGAAAACCGACTTAGCGAGGTTTCACTGTATTCTTCTCAATGCGCCTAAAAGTTGCAGTTGAGGTTTATAAATCTAAAATTTCCAAAAAACCATGCATGACTCTCATGCAGGCTGTGGTATTTCACCAAATTGACATAAGAGAACTCAGACAACGTCACAAGAATTTTCCTGCGAACAATGAGTGGTTTCCATCACAGTTTAATTTTGTATTTTCTCTGCGAGTCTCTGAAAAATAAAGGAAAATGCAAAGAGTTCTAGAAGAGAGGAATCCAGAATTGAATCAATGAGACTGAAAGCACCAGCTCAGAAAAATGAAAGTCTTTAGAAGACAGGAAAAACTTCACAGTAGATGTAGAAGTTAGAATTAGAAAAAGCTTTTTGGTGCCACTGTTCCGAGCACTTGTGATCAAATTTTCAAAAGTTACCCATTAGTAATCCTAAACCATCGAGAAGTCAAAATCGGAAAACCTGAGTTGGAGTTGTTTTCATTCTCACAGATTCAAAGAGTGTCTACGTTTACTTTGGGTGTTATTTTATTTTTTATTTATTTAAGTGTCTTGAAGAGTATTGTTATTATTAACAGGGTCCTAAAGTTATGATGTTTAAATTTTTTAGGCATTACAGCACTGATAGCATTGGCTGAAGAAGAAATTGTTGGCATCGATCTGAAACATGAAGAATGGCCCATGCTGAATCTTCCGTACTTGGTTTCTCTGCATGCAAGTGCCGTTATTTTCTCAACTCATCTGTCTGATGTTCCGCAGTCTCTGTGGAATGATATTGTTACAGCCGGGAAAGTGCAAACAGAAGGAATTTACTCTGATGCTGTAAGTTGCTCCACTATTTATTCAAGAATGTTAACATTTCATGAAGCTATTGAAACAAATCTTGGCCTAGACACTAACTAGATAACCATGATGGATGTGAATGTACTTTTGAAGTTGGCGTACTTGAAGGTTTTCATGAAACATGAATACTGAATAATTAGAGTCATTTTCGAATTCTACCATAGAATTTTTTTCTCAGTGAAATAAATTCAAAGAACTTCTTATTGTACTTTAAATGTAATTAATCTGCATCATCGTGAAAATTTGAATACTTTTTAAGGATTTAAATTTACTAGGACTTCCATTTATCAGATCTAATAGGACTGAAAAATGAATCCATTAAATTGTGAAATCCGTTAATTCGAATTTGTCCTTGAAGGGACTGGAAGATTGGTCAGTTAAATGGCAGTCTGATAAATCAAGGTTTTACCTTTAAAATTGGTTTTAATTTGTAAGTTCTTTAAGTCATTACGTTCTTTGCAGATGAAGATTCAACCATGGTTACATTCGTGGGAGGAAATAGTTATGACCTTTAGATCCTAACATATATTACATTTTGTTTTTTCATCAGGAATGGCCAATAGATGGTGGTGTATTGAAAGAAGAAAAAGGTAGCGTCAGACATAGAGACCTTCTATTGACTGGCCATGAAGATGGCTCTGTCAGATTTTGGGATGCTGGCGGTGTTGCTCTTGTGCCACTCTACACTTTCAAGTCATCACAGCTGTTTCGAAATGAGGAAGATGCAATATCCCTGAATGGTGACGCCACAGAAGAAGAAGAGGAAGAGTGGCCTCCGTTTAGGAAAGTAAGTTGACTGGAAGCTGGATCATAAAATTGCTTTAGATTTAAGGAATCTATCGAATCCACCGTGAGAATAGTGCTGTCAAAAACCTGTTCAGTCACGAAAGAAGCCTTTACAATTCTGAGAACATCACAAACAAGTGCTAATTCTGACCAAAATAAATCAGGAGATCATCAATAGATTATAAAAATCAGGCCAAGAATTTTCGTTTTTATAATGTTTTACTGGCATCAAGAATTCTATTCAAAATTAAAATTTGAAAATCTTCGTCTAATTCTGATAAAATTCAGAGGAATATATATTAAAAAATTTTATTTTAGAATACTTACATTCAAGGGTAGGTATGAATGAAAAGTAAAACTTTGCACCATATTGATTGCGTACCTCTTTCGAAATGTGCTGTTTTATCCAACTGTTTGCTCACTCTGATTAACTCATGTTCTTAATCCTCTCTCATTTTTGTGATTTTTAATAGGTCGGATGCTTTGATCCATATTCAGATGATCCAAGACTAGCCATTAAAAAAGTTTCTCTCTGTGGTGTTTCCGGGACTTTAGCGATTGCAGGCACTGCAGGTCATGTTATCATTGCTAAGTTATCTCTCTGTCCTGCCGAAAACTCTAAAGTTAAGGTAAGAATCCCTGTATTTAAAACTATAATTTTAAATTGTTCCAAAAACTTTACTAATGCTTTTAAACTAAAATTAACGCCAAAATAGGAGTTCCACCCCAAAAAATTCTTATGAGAAACTTCTGAACAGATGATTCTTAAAAGTATCAAGGACCTTGTGCCCCATTTTTGCTGACGTTAATTACTCATGATTGCAACCAAGAGGTGGCATTACTATTACCAAGTACAGTAATCAACATGGATTCTAAAATAGTACATACATACATACATACATACATACATAAAGCCGCTTTTATAGCGCCGCCTCGCGCTTTGCGACGCCCAATTCTAAAAAAGTTATCAGTGGAATTCCAGTATGTCTGTAGAGTGCTGGAGAAATAATTATTAGAAGAAGCATTCCAATTGTGTGTCTCAATTTGGTCAATTTGATGAACCTACCAAAATTCAAGCCCAATGTGTCATTGCATGTATTTTCCCCCGGACTCTCTGATTTTTTGTTGGTATGGTGCAAATAATCTGTCTTAATACATGTCAATCGACAAAAGCAGTCAAAAAGCCATCGTTCCATTTCAAATTTCTCAATCAGAGTATAAAAAAATGTTAGAAAAGAATGGGCTTGAGTTAAGAACAGTGATTGAATGTATTTTTTTCTTACAGGTTTGCCCTGTGAATTTAGTCAGTGAAAGGGACACTTTCGTTTGGAAAGGTCACGAGAAGCTGACTTTAAAAGGCAAAGTCGAAGACAATGCAACCACTCTCTCATTCCCTGTTGGTTTTCAACCATCATCAGTTCTACAGTTGCACCCACCTGCTGCAGTTACAGCTCTGGCTCTCAACGCTGACTGGAATCTGGTTGCAGCTGGCACAGCCCACGGTCTTGCAGTGTATAACATTGCAACTTGCACCCAAGTATTGAGCAAGTGCACCCTCAATCCCAACAGTGAGTAGTTTGCCAGACATTCATGAATAGTTAAAAATGTTCTGCCATGCTTGACTAATCTGATATGAGTAGCATCACCCAACCTAGAGTATTTAGCATGTTCTGCTTGTTTATTAAGTCTCAAAGTTGCTGCCATTAGCACAACTTTAAAAATGTGACAAGGTAGTTTTTATCATAAAGAAGATACAATGAAACCTCGCTAAGTCGGTTTTCATCGGGACCGAGGAAATTTACCGAGTTAAGCGGGTTACCGACTTACGCGGACTGCCACTTTTCCTGCCGCTTTTTTTCAAATTTCGCGCCCTAAATTGGACAAACGCAAACGTGCGTGTAGAGTGACCTGTAGGAGTGTTTAGGAGAGCCATTTGATCGAAGAAAATGGTACTAAAGAGTAAAATTTCATGAGATGCACTTGAAATTGCATGTTGTAAGTGTCAGGGCATCATGAAGTCATCGGGTTAATCGTTTGTTGGGGTGCCGCGCGGTGATGCGCCGCGGCCGCCCGCTGAGTGGCGGGTCGTTGCACTGAAAATGCAACGTAACAATACTCGCTAAAATCCTCGAAAAACTCTGAGGAAGATTCCTCGGGGGAGCGGGGAACGGCAATGCAAGATGGTAGGGGGAGAGGGGCTCGTGCCGATACGAGCGGGCTGAGTGGGGATCGGAGGGAGGAGGAGAGGGGCTCGTGCCGATACGAGCGGGCTGAGTGGGGATGGGAGGGAGGAGGAGAGGGG